TAATAGGCACATTAAACTTAACATTCCAAGTCCAAATGAACTTTTGATCTCCCCTTCTTAACTGCCCCTTTCCCCCTCTCCCACAATCCCAATTCTGGCTCATGGTCAGGCTCATTTTCATTTCAGTAAATGAAAACTCCATCCTGTGACTTGCTCAGAAAAATAACGTTGGAGTCATTGGCTCACTTGCAACCTTCAGCAAATCCTATCAGCTGTATTTTTAAAATATTTCCTCGTCTGACCGCCTGCCATCCTCGCCACTGCTGCCATCTTGCTGTGAATCACCACCATCTTTCACTCAGATCACTGCAGTCGCTTTCTAACAGCTCCATCTGCTTCTGCCCTTGCCTGCAACCTCCTCTTCCCAATCGTCTATTTTCAACCTAGCAGCCCGAGTGATTCTTTTACAGTGTAAGTCAGATGATGGCACTCCTCTGTTCCAAACCCTAACAGCTTCCTACCTCATCACAGTAAAAGCCAACACATCATTACAGCAGGCTTCAAGGTCGCAGCCTCTTAGATTAAACCTCTGACCCCACCTCCTACTCTTCCCCTTGCTCATTCCCTTCGGCCACACTGGCCTCTCTGCTGTTCTTCAAATGCCAAGCACACTCCTCCCTCTGGGTTTTACTCTTAGATTCCCTCTCCTGGAATGCTCTTCCCCTGGAGAGCCACACGATCTACTCTCACTCTTCCCTTAGCTCTGTCCTTAAATGCTGCCATCTTATTGAGGAATTCCACAAAAACCCCAAAACTTAAGATTATATTCATTATACCCTGGTGCACTCAATTCTCCTTCCTATGCCTAATTTTTTACCATAGCATATACCTTTATCTGACATACATATATTTTACTTATGTTTGTCTTGCCCCACAATAATGCAAGTTCCATGAGGGGAGGATCTACAGAGGACGCATGCTCAATAAATATTTGTTGAATGAATAAATGAATGAATGAATGAATCAAGGCAGGAACACAAGGGTGAGGAAGGGTTCGTTTCTATGTGTTAGAACTCCCCTCACCACTCCTAAACCTTAGTTTTCATTTCCTTACCTTTGTCAGATTGAGGAATGAGAGATAGCATTCTCAGGAAAACAAAAATAAGAAGAAAATCAAAGAGAGATGACACCTTGAAGGAGGAAAGCAGAAAACAGAAGTGACAGGATAGATAAAGGAGAAAAGAGAGTCAACTGTAATGAGAGAGACAGACACAAAGAGGAAATGGGGGTGGGGGAGAGAACTAGGAGGAAAACTCTGGAATATTCTTTCTGAGTAATGGCCTCACAAACTGTAAACACTGCCAGATCCACCGTGGGAACTTCAGTGCCCACTCAGACTCCTGAGATACGCCAGACTGTCCCCAGTGACTCAGCCTGGAGAAGTGACAGCTCAGGGCAGGATGATCTCTGATGACAAGAATTAAAAAGCACACTGATAAAGCCTTCCACTTTTCAGTTAATCCCAGCAATTTCCCAGGACAAAGCCTCTTTCTGAGTTTGAAAATTAATCTTGGAGTCAGAGGGTGAGAGCCACAGCAGAGGTCATTACCACAGGGCACAGGGTCTCTGCAATTCTGGTGATCACAGGCCATCTTGACCCTTTGCTCACCCGAAGTTTATCCTCCGATTAGAGATTAGACGGAGCACAGGTGTGTATAAAAAGAGACAACTTCACAACACCCTGAGCAGTAGAATGAACATGAACGGAGTTACCCCAGAGCCCTCATTTCTTTATTACAGAAAGAGGGCTAATTTTCCCGCTGGCCAGAACGGCTACGGAAGAGAGAAACCACAAGCATCTTGCAACTTCTTGTTAAATAAGTTTTCTGACACATGGTGACTGGTGATTAATTACTGCGTTAGAAGATAACATTCCTATAGCGATTGGCCGGAAATACAGCTGCTGTCCATGCTTGATTAGACATTGCCTAAGGAATGCTGAGGCACACAGCTCCAGTCTATCATTTCTGGCTATTTTGGTACCGCTGTTACATTTATTTTACATAGCTTCAAGTTCAGGAGAATTGATGGAGCCCATTTCACAAAACTGTCCCTACCGAAATCGGAGCAGAAAAAGGATAAGGCTGTAAAGTGTGTCTATGTCGGTGTGTGTGTATGAGGGCAAGAGATAATGAGGGACAAGGCCTGTGAAGAGTAGGGATGCATTACTCCTCTCTGTAACGCTGTCCACTCTACAAAGAAAGGACTGCAAGGGAGATGACTGGTTTCTTATAAGCCTAGAAGGAACTGACCCATGTCGGCTGATTGAAACTTTCAGGGCAGTGACGATAAAACTGAACTTTGGCGTTATCCAAGTCCTTCACCAACACCAAACGAAGCCTGGAGTTGGTCCCTGTTCATTACACACGATGAGCACTTACTCTGGGCCAGGCATCGAGGAAACAGACAGGGAGAGCCTCGGCCCTTGAGCTTACAGTGTGGTAAGGGGATGTCTTCTGACCCAGGACGGGAAGGACAGAATCACCCAATGCCATGCACTTACACTAGCCTACTTCCGAACCCACCAAGAGTGGAGAGTAACAACAAGCAGTACCTGTCCCACATTTCAGCTTACACCCACTGCCCTGGACTTCAGTCATAGGTCCAGCTGGGAAAGGCAGGCCTCGGTTGCCGTTCCATTATTTCACTCAGGCCACCGATGCCAACTCCAACACTGCCCAGTCAGCATTCAATATTCAGACGAGATCGGGCGCGTTCAGGGTGGTATGGCCGTAGACAGCATTCAATATTCAAATGCCAGTTTTTTCTAGTGTGTGTTTGAGCCCCATACTGTCTGCCAAAAAAACTGTGTTAATTTACTTACTTCAGCTAAATAAAAAAGAAATCATTTAAAAAGGATGATTGGATTTAGGAAAATATATTCCTCCGAGAATTAGTAATGCTTTTCTCTATCCCTCAGGCCTCCACGTTCTTATGTTCCCCTTGTCAATGTTATTATGAGACTAATTCAATAATGAGATCATTCCCCATAGAGCGGCCAAATAAATGCAGCATTCAGTCACACCTGGTTTCTCTAATCTGGGCAAGAAAGGCTTTCCACCAAATTTAGCCTAAAATAGGGAATTTAATGAACACACACACACACACACACACACACACACACACACTCACACACACACTCACACACACACTCACACATGCAGGAAAAAATAAGACAGGGAAGGAGGACAGAGAAGCAGAAGAACAGGGCAGCAGTGGAACAAATGCAGTGACAGATTGGAGAAGAAAGGTTAAACACGAAGATATATGACTATGTGATTCCAAAGCAAAGTTCCTAGCATACATCTTAATAATTGTCAAGGTAATATAATACTTCATCGTTCCTTAAATGTCTCGAGAATTGTTTCAAATTTTCTTGAACTTCTTAGGGAATCAAAATATCAAGCGAAAAGACACAGAAGTACTAAATATGAGGCAGGAACACTCTGGATTATTAAAAACAAATGACTTCTTAGCCATAAAGGAGTCTGTGGAATAATTCAGCTAGATATAAGCTTAGCACTGAGAAGCCATAATCATCATCTATCCTCTTCAAAACTGGTTAAACTTTCATTAAAACACCGAAGGTCTGATGACTGAAGCAAGGTATAAATGGTGTTGAGACCTCATAAAGAGAGAATAAAATTAACTCGCAAATTTGAAAAGACACGTTATAAAGACACATTAAACACTGAGATCAGCAAACCTAGGAAAGAGGAAGTGCCGTTTAAAAGCAGCAGCTTCAATTACAGGAAAACGAGGGGAGGCAGGTTTCCTTTGGGACGAGATGGAAGAGATGAGGAAACAGGTTCATGTAAAAACACATTCAATACCTGTTGTTTACAATGAGAGAAAAACAGGGAAAACCCAATGTCTGCAATTTTGCAAGTTATTAAATAAATAAATTATGGTTCATTTACAAGAAATTAAAAGTAATATTTTCAAGGAATATTAGTAAATATGGGAAACAACATGTTTTCAAAGAGTATAATGATCTGATATGGAAAAATACAATTAAATGAATATAAAGCCACAGTAACATAGTTTTAATTTTGTAAAAAGAGAAATTGCATGTATACGCATGTATAAAAACTCCCCTACACACAGAATACGTGCACAAAAACCAGGAGAAAGTATACCCAATATCATGGTCTCTAGACTAAAAGTTTACAAGTAATGTTTATAATCTTCTTTGTATTTTATATCACATACTAGAGGCCCGGTGCACGGATTCATGCACCAGTGGTGTCCCTTAGCCTGGCCTGCACCCTCTCGCAATCTGGGACCCCTCAGGGGATGTGGGACTGCTGATTTCAACCTGATCCCTGAAGGCCAGGCCGAGGACCCCATTGGTGCTATCTATATAGATGTGATGCAATAGCATGTAATACTTTTATAACCACCCCCAAAAAAGTTAGTAAAGTTTTGCAGCAAGAAAAACTTAGGTTAAACAATAGGAAAAATTACCTAATGGATGTTTTGTTTCCAATAGAATTTTATAGAATATTTTTCTTTATGACTGATGAAAACCTATTTCATTTATTTTTGCTTTTTAAAATTTGAGATATAATTGATATATAGCATATTAGTTTCAGTTGTACAACATAATTATTCGATATACATATGTATATATTGCAAAATGATCACACTAAATTTAATTAATATTAAGCAACTGTTTAACTTTTTCTTTTTAAAATATTTTTTCCCCATTGATTTCAGAGAGGAAGGGAGAGGGAGAGAAAGATAAAAAAAAAAAAATCAATGATGAGAGAGAATCATTGATCGGCTGCCTCCTGCATGTCCCACCCTGGGGATTGAGCCCACAACCCAGGCATGTGTCCTGACTGGGAATCAAACTGTGACCTCCTGATTCATGGTCGATGCTCAGCCACTGAGCCACACTGGTTGGGCTAAACTAACTTTTTAAGAACCAATAATCTACTTTTAAAAATGACTCATACGCTTTGGTACAAGGAACTGAGCCCAATCGTCCCTCTTACCTTGCAAAGTCCAGGTCTGCCTCCCGTGACATGGTGATGTTGGTCAAATTCTGTTGAAGAACAAAAATGTTCCTGCACATTTTCTTGATGCCAGATTCACTGATGCGCCGGAAGTACTGGGCACCATTAATGAGGATGCAGGAGATCAGGTGTCCTAGGCCTGACGGATGGGCACAGGGTTGGGGAGACAAGAAACAATAGATTAGTGACCTCTTACATAAACTGACACACAGGATTTCTCTCTTCTAATCCTCCACCATTTAAATGACCAAAGAATACACATCTCTGATGGCTGCACCAGCTAATGGCACAATGATTTCAGAGCTGCCCTGGTACTGAAAAATGGGGAGACTTTGCTGGCAACAAAACCTGGTAAATCCACAGCTCTAGCACCACCACGTACACCCAATCATGCCAGGGCTTGGAGAATATGCCAGGTTTCATAAGCTATTACAGTGCAGGAACTCTTTTCCTGTACAGGTATGTTGGGAGTGGAGAATACATGTAAATACAATGACGTGTTTGACCTCCCCTTTCTCCCACAAAACAGATAGGAGTATACACTGACTCAAAAGTTGCTTCGGGACCTACCTAAGCAAAAATAAATCAATAAGAAATTGGGCTATTGGCACTGACGCTAATACATCTCAATGCTGACAATGGAGTATATTTCTGAAGTAGCAATTGGAGAAAATGTAAGCAGAAGCAAAGTGTGAAAGAAAAGCAGATCATGCATTAACTGTTGAGTTCCTCCAAGATAGCTATGGGCATTTCTAGAGTCTGATAAGTTTGTTTTTGTCTCCAAAGGGCTATCTTGAGGTCCAGGAAACTGACCAAGAGCAGGTCAGAGCATCAACACCTACAGGTCCCGTTCAGGGTATCCATGTAATTGAGTTCAGAACAACCCGAGGCACATGTAGATTACCATTTCAAGAAGCCAGATTCCAATTCTAAATACTTGGAATTAAGTAAACTTTTAGTTCTTCTTTTTCCTTTTTTCTTGCAGAGCCGGACTCTAGCAGGCTGTTTCCCCAGAACTTGAGTGCTAGTCTGACTAGTCCCAAGCGGTCTGCTGTCTTTGTTACTTTCCTCTTCTGAAGGCATAGTCCCTCCATGTGACTGTGGCTCAAGTCAGAGCGTAGGGTGCGTCTTTGGGTGTAATGGCTCCCTCTGTCTTTAAAATGAGTTTCCCCTCCATTAGGATGAAGGTGGCAAAGGGAGAGGAAGGTGTGCGCTCTCTCGTTCTGCTATACTCACCAACATGCTTCCAGCCCATAAACCCACTTGCACGTGCTACTACTTGAAAGTGAGGAAAAGACACAGGGATTTTACATTAATGCCAGGCAACTGACTTCTGTGAAAAATCTCCGTAGGTCAAGTTTCAGCTGCTACTCCTGAGCCCATACCTCCGGGTATAATTCTGTTCTGCCATTTGCAGTAAATCCTAGTGCAGGCAATGGGTGCAGGCAAGTGGATTGTTTGTAAAGAATAATAAATACTGCCCACCGGTGTGGCTCAATGGTTGAGCATCGATCTATGAACCAGGAGGTCATGGTTTTGTTCCTGGTCAGGGCACATGCCCCAGTTGCAGGCTTGATCTTCAGTAGTGGGCGAGCAGGAAGCAGCTGATCGATGATTCTCTCTCACCATTGATATTTCTATCTCTCTCCCTTCCTCGCTCTCTCAAATAAATAAAAACACATATAAAAAATAGTAAATACTAATAAATATATTACATAAAAATTTATGTAATAAATAATAATAATAAATAATAAAGCCAATTAGAAGTTGGTCTGCTTTATGTTATCACTACTCACCAGCAATTCTAAACCACAGCTGGGATGAAGTACTTCCCCAGCCACGCATGGAAGCCTGAGACCTTGTCCCCTCCTCCCCCAGCTTGGGGAAACTCAATATTATACCTTTTGAATTTAGAAAATGACATTGTAGAGAAATAACTGGCTTTTAAAACATAAAGTCTGAAACTTTCCTAGTTAGAATTAATTCTAAGTCAGAGGATCAGGCCTGTATTTCGAGACATGGTCTCCTAGCAGGATTACATGTGAAGAAATGCCTGGGCACAATGAGAGGAAAACTCTAGGAGAGAGAATGTAGGGCTTGGAAGAGCCCCGGTGAAACCCAGAGAGGACACTGTGCAGGAGGGAGAAGGGAATTCTCAGATGGGCGCCTCAGATTCAACCTACGGAGTGTGACCGCTACCCCCAAATCCATTATGCCAGTCGCTCACTAACAGCTAGCTTTATGATATGATTTAAAGTAGAGAGCAACTAAAGGACTTGTATGCATGCATATTAGCAGAACCAGTGGACACAGACACTGGGCGGTGGGGGCTTGCCAGGGGTGGGAATGGCTGGTGGGGGGAGGAGGTTAAATGGGGGAAAAGGAGACATATGTAAAACTTTAGACAATAAAAACCTAAAAATAAAGAAAAAATAGGATTTGGAGGTCCACATTCTCTGGAACACAACTGTTTCATGAAGCAATCAACAGCCAGGCATCATCACTGCCTCTCCAGGTGGCTATAGTCCTTTAGACGACGCACCTCTTAATAGTTGTAAACAACACTGGTTTCATTCTGAGACACACCGTGGATGCTTTTAACACCCAGGTCTATGGACAAAGAAACCAAAACAAGAAAAGAGGGAAGGCAATGTGAAGTCCTGACAGGGATCCTAGGAGGGAATTCAGCATGAAAAATTACCTGCCTGGCACCACTGTGCTGTCTCTCACTCCCTCCCCTGCCTGCGGCCTGCCCTGAAGGCATTCAGGATGCAGCCTTCCTAAAATCAATGCCCATCGGAGGTTGCCTTTGTTTTCCCACAATAACGCATTCTCTGAGAGAAAATGTTAGCCAGGAGGGATTTTTCAGGGCCCTCTCCTCACTGGTGTATGTTTCTTTTTCTCTTATGAGCTCCTCTTGAGTGAATTCGGGGCCCTCCACACATTTACCCAACTCTCATGAGTGGCATGTCAGGGAGGCAGCCGGCTGCCATCTGCCTTATCTTGGATTAAATCTCCTTATCAACCGGGAGCAGATGGCAGCCATATTGTTGTCTACCTGCCCATACAGAGATACCAGGCATTGCTGCTTTAAGCAAAAAAGATATAAAAATTCCAACAACCTTTCCCCACAAGTTTTAAACCTCGATAATAGAGAAAAATCAGGCCACCAGCCCCTCCTCTCTCCTGAACACGCAGGGATGGGGCAGGGCTGACCTTCAAAGATGTACTGGAACTTGTGCTGCTGCAGGCTGGCACTCATGGCCTCTTCGATGGCACTGATGTCTTTGTTGAGCTTGACTACCAGAGGGTCATAGTCCATACTTTCCACGTTGGCAACGATGGCATAGTTCCCCTCCTTTGCAAGAGGGATGAGATAGTGGAAACAGTGAACCCTGGAAAAGACAGAGAGGTGGGGAGAGCAATGAGCAATTCATCGTTCTGATGAGAATGATGATCTTTTTGTGATAGTGCACTCAAATATTTGCAGAAGCAGTGGCCTGTAAAACCGCGTGTGCCCCACCCCCTTTCACCAGAAAGCCATTTCGGTTACTCCACAGAACAGGTAAGTGGTCCTGAGCAATCAGCGTCTGTGGTCCTTGCTTATTGAATCCATACGCTGTGGGGGAGAAACAGAGGAGCTCTAAAATCCTTGTCAGTGACAGGACTGCATGCATAGTGTGAAAAGCATTAGACTTTTCAACAGATATTGTTGTAGTAAAAATGAGAGCAGAAGTCACAGATCTAAAATGTGGAAGCCGTATAATGAGACTGCATTGGTTTCAATTCCCAATTCCAACCCTTATTAGCTGTGTGACTTCAGGCAAGTTATTTTCTCTCTCTCTGTCTCCGTTTCCATATCTGTGCAATGGGAATGATAACAATTCCTAAGGAGCTACCACATAGAAAGTGTTTCTTTCGCATAGGGCCTGGCACGAAGGAAGTGCATAGTAAGGCTGGATGTCATCACTATTAGCATATTTATTAATGTTAGTCTATTACTTAAATAAAACACAAAACATCCATGAATTTGTAAAAATTGTGCTAGGCTCTGGGAATGTAAGACTCAATTTGTGTCCTTGAACACTACAGCCTGGTAGGGCTGACCAAGAAAAAATTGCCACAAGAGGGCAGTGTTTCCCCAAGAAGCACAAAACACTGTGAGTGTCTGGAAAGGGCATATCTGAATGAGCTGGAGGAAGTGCACTTTATTTCTGTGTTGAAATGGCCTGAGTCATTTTGGTTATGCACAATTCTTCATTTCTTTTTATTACATTTTACTGAATTTATTGGGGTGACATTGGTTAATAGAATTATGTCGGTTTCAGCCCTACCATTCTACAACACAGTGGTTCTCAACCTTCTTAATGCCGCGACCTTTTAATACAGTTCCTCATGTTGTGGTGACCCCCAACCATAACATTACTTTCGTTGCTACTTCATAACTGTAATTTTTCTACTGTTATGAATCGTCATGTAAATATCTGATATGCAGGATGTATTTTCATTGTTACAAACTGGACATAATTAAAGCATAGTGATTAATCACAAAAATAATATGTAATTACATACGTGTTTTCCGATGGTCTTAGGCGACCCCTGTGAAAGGGTCTTTCGACCCCCAAAGGGGTCGCGACCCACAGGTTGAGAACCGCTGCTATAACACATTGCATTGTGTGTTCACCTCCCCAAGTCAAGTCTCCTTCCATCACCATTTACCCCCCCGTACCCTCTTCTACCTCCTCCACCCACTCTTCATTTATTTTTTTGGTAGATTCAGTAACTGCCAAAGATGTTTGTGGTGGGTGAGAATTGGCTACTTCATTACCTTTGTATTACATTGAAATGAAAAGCAAGTTTCAGTCTAAATACCACACCTATTTAAAAAAGAAAACAGAAACACCATCCATAGTTCACACAGGCCATTCTCTGAGCTCAATGAAGTCCTAACTCTATTGTTTTGGATGCATGTATCTGATGCTCCTGGTGGGAGATATGATACAATTCGGGTCAGGATTCTATAACCCTTATAGTTGGCATCAGATAACAAGAAATATTCCTAAACACATGGTCGCAAAAACCTTGGGCATTATCCCAAGCGATGCAAACACAGACTTGACTACCATCTTTCTAAGTCGGGTTTACTGAGAAATAATTTATAAGCAGGAAAATCCACCCTTTTTAGGGTCCTATTCTATGAGTTTTGACAAATGCATACAGTTACGTAAGCACCAGCATAATCATTACAGAATAGTCTTATCACTCCCAGAATTTCCTTGTCCCCTCGGAAGCCAACTTCTACTGACACCCCAAGCTCTTGCAACCACTGATGTATTTCCTGTCCCGTGGTTTCAACTCTTCCAGAATGCCACCTCAATGGAATTGTATAGAATGCCGCCTTTGGAGTTTGGCTTCCTTTACTCTGCGTTAAGGGTTTGAGATAAATCCATGTTGTTCATTCCTTATTATGGCTGAGCAGTCCCCCACATATGGATGTACCACAATTTCACTCTCCACCAGGTGACATCTGGGTTGTTTCAAGTTTGGGGTGATTATGAATAAGGCGGCTTCATGTACCGGTTTTTGTATACATTTTCATTTCTCTTGGGTAAATACCTAAAAATGGATTGGTGGGTCATTTGGTAGGTGTATATTTAATTTTATAAGAAACTGCAAAACAGTTTTCCAAAGTAGCTGTGCCTTTTCCTATCCCACCAACAACGTGCAAAGGTTCCAGTTGCTCCACATCTTCCACCAGCACCTAGTGTTGTCAGTTTTCTTAAATTTTAGCTCTATTAAGGTATAACTGGCACCTTATAGTCGTGAGATATTTAAAGTGTTTTGATATAGGTATACATTGTTAAAGGATTCCCCCATCTAACTAAATAACACCTTTATCACCTCACATATCTATTCCTTTTTTTAGTGTGAACATTTATGTTCTACTCTACTAGCAAATTTAAATTACACAGTACAGTGTTATTAACTATAGGCACCATGTTTTACATTAAATCCCCAGGCCTTATTAATCTTATAATGAAAGTCTGTACCCTTTTCCCAGTCCCTTCCCATTTCTCCACTCCCCCAGCCACCAATTACTTCTCTTTATTTAGATTCCGCATATACTAATACCATGACTATTTGTCTTTCCTTGTCTGGCTTATTTCACTTAGCAAAATGCCCTCACACATTTGTCAGGTAAAAAAAAAAAAAGTGCAGTCATTCTAATAGATGTGTAGTGATATCTCATTGCGGTTTTATGTTTCCTAATGACTGATGATATTGGGCATATTCATAGGCTTATTTGCTATCATATATCTTTGTGTTCACATCATTTGCCTACTTTTTGGATTAGGCTGTTGTCTTACTAACTTTTGAGAGTTCGTTCTATTTTTTCTGGAGACAAGTCTTTTATTAGATATGCATTTTGCAAATATTTTCTACCAGTCTTTTCTTTTTTTTCCACATAAAGTTCTTAGTCTATTAATCCTCTCATGAAAAATCTGCAATCACCACAAATAAAGTCAGAAGAATCTTTACTCCTCCTGTTGTCCAGTCTCCAGCTCACTTTCTGCAGCACCAACGTTGGCCTTTGCAGACCCCAGACTCTCTTCATCCTGTTCTTGCCTTCCTTTCTCTGAGCTCTTCTTCTCATATAGGTTATGTCTTGCGAGCCTGTGTTTGGATTCATTTTTCTTTGCATAACCCCAGGAATCATAAATCATGCCAAAGCCAGCTAAAATGCCACCACCAAAAATGGGTTCTGAATCCAAACACAAAGATGACATCTGCTGTGGTTTAATACATTTTGGCTACTTTCCCTCGAGTTTCTGTCTTAAGTACCGTTGACGATGGGTGAAGGACATCAATGATTATTTGTTTCCGCTGAGGTAGTTTGTTGTCATAAACTTCCTGGTCCGGGACAGTCTCTGTGCTGCTCTTGATGGCAGCCAACCTTAAGGCAGCCAGGGGGAAAAGAGGCAGCTCCCCACCCCCCCCCCCCCCCCCCCCCCCCCCCCCCCCCCCCCCCACTTCACCAGTATCTTTCAAAGAATGGTTTTAAATTTTGATGAAGTTCAATTTATCATTTATTTCCTTAATGGACAGGGCTTTAGGTGTCAGATTTAAGACTCTGCCTAGGCAAAGTCACTCAATTTTTTCATGTATTTTCTTCTAGAAGTTTTAAAGCTTTAGGTTTTACATTTAGATCTAGAATCTATTTTGAGCTAAGTTGTGTATAGTACGTGCTATATTCTTATAACCTGTTCATGCAAGAGAATCGAAATATCTTGACTAACAGTTCATTTTCATGACGGGGACTCATCTTAACAGCTGCTAAGCAACTCATGACTAATTGCACCAATAAAAGCTCATTTTGACATTCACGTGCTAACTGGCAAAATGTACAGTTTTGATCAAGATACCAGTAAATGCAATGGTCACAGAACCCTCTAGAATCTGATTTTCTAATATAATGAAAGTCAATCAACCCTGGAGTAGGATTAATGATGAGGGAAATTGATTGGCTCTGTGGTTGAAATTTAAACTAAACAGCTCTTAATTGAAAATAAAATGAAGCCATCAATGCTAAAGTATTTTTATAATAAATTATAAATATTATAACCCAGACAATGGGAAGACCAGGGACAAAGACCTGTGTAAATGGAGGGCAGTTTCAGAGGGGTGATGAGCTGCTCCTTCCGGTACACACAGATCACAGGACAGAGCATGAGGTGAGCTTGGGGAGATGGGCAGGGCCAGGTCAGCATGGGCTTTGGAGGCCATCTGAGGACTCTGGACTTTGAGAAGCCATAGGGAGACTTAGGAGGATTTTAGGAGGTGAAAAGATATCATTGGATATGAGCTTTGGTAAGATAACTCTGGCACAGGATAAAGGGTGGATTGATGGTGGAGGGTGGAAGAAAGTGGAAGTAGGGAGACTATGTACTTAGGACATTGTTACAGATTGGAGGTGAGAGCTTATGAGATCCTGAGTGAGAGGCAGAAAAGAGAGATAAACACTGTTTTAAGGTACCATCTTCCTTTCCCAAAATGGCCAGAGATGAAAAAGAAATTAAAGTAGTCATTGACAAATGTCAAACTTTTAAAAAGTATGGTTTTTTTTCCTTTTCTTTTGAATTCTGGCATGTTGATGGTGACCTTAATATGCCTTTGGCTTTATGGTTTTCTGCCAATATTGTTGATTACACAGCAGGATGGTTGATTGTCAGGAAGTGCACACTAAGGATCCCAACAGTGACAGGCGGTGGCTCTTGAACCCACTTGGATTCCTGATGATGGTGAGAGAATCAGCTGATAAAGGTGACATTTTTTGCATCTTGGACTCAAATGGCAAACTCAATGGGTTCTTCTTATAATGTTCAAACAGGATAAA